CCGGATCTGTCCGGAAACGGTGCCGGAGTCCGCTCTGGGCTCCTCTGGGCACCTCCCCCGGGGCCGGTTTTGTGAGGATGTCTAAAGCGAGGGCGCTGGTTTGGGATTCGTCGGCGGATCCACCGGATCCAGCGGATCTGTCCGGAAACGGTGCCGGAGGCCGCTCTGGGCTCCTCTGGGCACCTCCCCCGGGGCCGGTTTTGTGAGGATGTCCCAAGCGAGGGCGCCGGTTTGGGATTCGTCACCGGATCCAGCGGATCCACCGGATCTGTCCGGAAACGGTGCCGGAGGCCGCTCTGGGCTCCTCTGGGCACCTCCCCCGGGGCCGGTTTTGTGAGGATGTCTCAAGCGAGGGCGCCGGTTTGGGATTCGTCACCAGATCCACCGGATCTGTCCGGAAACGGTGCCGGAGGCCGCTCTGGGCTCCTCTGGGCACCTCCCCCGGGGCCGGTTTTGTGAGGATGTCTCAAGCGAGGGCGCCGGTTTGGGATTCGTCGGCGGATCCACCAGATCTGTCCGGAAACGGTGCCGGAGGCCGCTCTGGGCTCCTCTGGGCACCTCCCCCAGGGCCGGTTTTGCGAGGATGTCTCAAGCGAGGGCGCCGGTTTGGGATTCGTCGGCGGATCCACCGGATCCACCGGATCTGTCCCGAAACGGTGCCGGAGGCCGCTCTGGGCTCCTCTGGGCACCTCCCCCGGGGCCGGTTTTGTGAGGATGTCTCAAGCGAGGGCGCCGGTTTGGGATTCGTCACCGGATCCAGCGGATCCACCGGATCTGTCCGGAAACGGTGCTGGAGGCCGCTCTGGGCTCCTCTGGGCACCTCCCCCGGGGCCGGTTTTGTGAGGATGTCTCAAGCGAGGGCGCCGGTTTGGGATTCGTCGGCGGATCCACCGGATCTGTCCGGAAACGGTGCCGGAGGCCGCTCTGGGCTCCTCTGGGCACCTCCCCCGGGGCCGGTTTTGTGAGGATGTCTCAAGCGAGGGCGCCGGTTTGGGATTCGTCACCGGATCCAGCGGATCCAGCGGATCTGTCCGGAAACGGTGCCGGAGGCCGCTCTGGGCTCCTCTGGGCACCTCCCCCGGGGCCGGTTTTGTGAGGATGTCTCAAGCGAGGGCGCCGGTTTGGGATTCGTCACCGGATCCACCGGATCTGTCCGGAAACGGTGCCGGAGGCCGCTCTGGGCCCCTCTGGGCACCTCCCCCGGGGCCGGTTTTGTGAGGATGTCTCAAGCGAGGGCGCCGGTTTGGGATTCGTCACCGGATCCACCGGATCTGTCCGGAAACGGTGCCGGAGGCCGCTCTGGGCTCCTCTGGGCACCTCCCCCGGGGCCGGTTTTGTGAGGATGTCTCAAGCGAGGGCGCCGGTTTGGGATTCGTCACCGGATCCACCGGATCTGTCCGGAAACGGTGCCGGAGGCCGCTCTGGGCTCGTGCTCTTCGCGCCGGGGGTGAGGAAGACGTGAGTTCCACAGAAACTCCCTCAAATTAATAATTTCGCCCTGTCGCACGCCGAGGCCAGTTTTTAGGGCGGTCCGGGCGTTTCGCCGGATATTTCTTACCATTTATGATTCTGAAGCTTAACAGTTGGCAACAGTTTCGCAGATGGAGGGCGGGTGGTTTTCAAAATGTTGCCCCTGCCTTAGCGCGGCGTGCATTCTTGTTAACATTTTGCAAGAACTTCACGGATTCAGGGCGGGTGGTCTTCAAACTGCGGCTCTCGCCTTAGCGCGGCGCGCATTTTTCTTACACTTTCGCAAGAGCTTTATATATTGAGGGCGGGTGGTTTTCAACATGTGGTTCTCGCCTTAGCGCGGCGCACATTCGTGTTATTGAATTGCAAGAGTTTTGCGGATTGAGGGCGATTCCTTTTCAAAATGCGGCTCTCGCTTTTGCGCCGCGCACATTCGTTCATCGTATTTGCAAGAGTTTCACGGATTCCCACCATCAGCGTACCAAGAACATGTGTTTTGAAAGGGTTCAGGATTACGCGGGTGCAGCAGTTACGTTGATTCGCCGTGTTGAAGTTCCAGGGCTGGCGATCTGGCACGATTCAGGATCGTCAAGACGCAACAGTCAGGTTCATCCGTGGCGTTGGAATCCCGAGAACAATGTTTTGGCATGCTTCAGGGTCTTCAGACGGTTGTCTTCGAATGAGGCAGTTCCCTCAATGGAAGTGAACCGTTGTAGGGGCCTGTGAGAGGGAGCTTGGAGGGAGGGTGTATTCCATCATCGTTGATGACTCTTGGGTTTGCCCTGGTCCTCCTTATCCTCCTCCTCCTCTTCCCCCTCTTCCCCCTCCTCCCCTTCTCCTCCTCCTCCTCCTCCTCCTCCTCCTCCTCCTCCTCCTCCTCCTTGTTCGCTCCCATCCCGCGATGTGCCCCGTCAGTGCGCGGCCCCAGGGACCGCCGACCCTCCCCCCGAGGGGCACCGTTCTCTGCCCTGGATCCTTTCTTTCTCACCGCGGGCCCCAGACGGAGTCGAGGACAAAAAGGGCGCCAGCG